AATAATAATAATAATAATAATAATAATAATAATAATAATAATGATATTGATAATAATAATAAAAATGATTATAGTAATAATGATTAAGAAAATAATAATACCTTTGATAAGGAAAATAATAAGGATGATGATATCAATTATAACAGTAACGATAATGATAATGATAATATTAATTATGATAATAATAATAGTAATACTATTACCACTACTACTACTACTACTACTAATGATAATGATAATAAGGATAATGATGATAATAATAATAATAATAATAATAATAATAATGATATTCGTAATAATGATGATAATGATAATAACAATCATCATGATAATGATAATAATAACAATAATAATAATAATAATAATAACAGTAATAATGATTAATAATAATAATAATAATAATAATAATGATAATAATAATAATAATGATAATAATGATAATGATAACAATAACATTATCATTACATCAGTATATGATAATGATGATAATGAAAACAATGATAATAATAATAATAATAATAATAATTATTATTATTATTATTATTATTATTATTATTATTACTATTATTATTATTATCATCATTATTATCATTATCATTATTACTATTATTATTATTATCATTATTATTATTATTATTATTATTATTATTGTTATTATTACTATTATTATAATGATAATAATAGTATTGCTGAAAATAAAAGTGATGATAATGATAATGGTAACAACAAAGGTAAAGATAATGTACAATGATAATAACATTAATAATGAAAATGATAATAGGAATATAATGAACAGAGAAAAGAAAAAAAATAAAGATAATAATAATAATTACAACAATAATTACAGTAATAATAGTAAGAATGATGATAATATCAATGATAATAACAATATTGATAATAATGATAATAATAACAGCAATAACAATAAAATTACAATAACAATAATAGTGATAATAATGATAATAATAACATAATAAAAATAAAGAAAACAATTATAAGAAAGCTGGTAATAATGATAATAACAATGGTAATAATAATAAGAATAATAATTATATAATTATGGTAATAATGATGTTAACAATGACAGTAATGATGATGATAATAACAATAAAGATAATAATGATAATAACATTAATAATAATAACAATAATAACAATAATGATTGTGCTAACATCATCATTGTCACTAACATTATCACTATCATTATTAACATTATCATTAGCATTATTACTACTACTACTGCTGCTACTATTATCATCATCATTATAAGCATCATTACGATTTTATATTACTGTTATCATCATCATCACTGTTATCATTATTGGTATGTTGTTGATATTTTCATCATCACTGCCAACATTTTGGACAGTAATCGTAATACAATATTTTGATAAAGTGAATTACAGAGATCAGTGAATGGATTAAAAGTTGGCCAATATATTAATAAAAATAATTACAGAGATCGGCGAATGGGTTAAAAGTTGGCTGTAAAGGGAAACGCTAAAACCCTGACCACTGACCGCTGACCAACAGCCTTGGACCATTTTAGGTTATATCTTCTCTTTTGCCAAACTTTACCAAATATTCAGAATTTATATATATATATATATATATATATATATATATATATATATATATATATATATATATATATATATATATATATATATATATATATATCATTGGAATCTATAGGTCTCAATAAAAAATTCTGAATTTCATTTCATTTATGTCTTGGGTGCAGTGCATAAAGATTCTTCAATGTGGATTTCATTCCCTCGTCAGACTTTTCCTGCTGATGCTTCCCGTTAGACTCAAGTGTTTGGAGTCCACATTCTTCTCCTTCGAAAAGCATTTTTAATCCGCTTCCGCTTTCTAACTCCTTGTCTCGGATTTACATCGGTGAATTCTGAGTGGTTGCTGCTGTATATTTGCTTTATCATCTTTTCTCTTGTTGACTGTAAATGTTGAGTGATATTTTCATTTTTGCTCTTAATTATTTTGGCAACAGAAATACGATAATTGTTTGCTCCCCATGAGCCGTGACTCTAGGTCCTTGAGAACCACTCCCTTAATGGGCTGTGAAGAATGCCTTCCCCCTCCCCCAATGTCAGTTACTCTGTCATTATGATTAACTGTATTGTTGTTACTTACGAACCCACTGCAATAATCTCGTCTTATACTTGATGTTATTGTGTTTGTTATTGTTATTATTTCTGTTTGGTATTGTAAATGCTGTCATTCATATGCTGCTATTATCAGCCTTGTTGTTGTTTTGTTGTTCCTTTTCCATATATTATTGTTATTACTTTCCTTAACATTATCATCACCATCATTGTTGGTGACGCTGTTATCATCGCAGTCTCCATTATTGTTATTATTATCGCCATCATCATTTATCATTATATAATTCGTAGCTGTCATATCCTTCTATCCTTCTATGGATATGACAGGGTTTATTTTCTTTTCAGGACATTCATGTTTCTAATTTACTGGAAAT